GATCCAATGTCCCTAGATGTGGACTTTAAGCCCAAGATGCCTCCTGGATTCTTTTCCTTTAACTCTGTCAACATCCCTTCTCTGCCTGAGGCACTAAGGTTGCTAGGGCAGTACAGGGGATCTAGTCAAGCTTGGAGTCAGATTCCTGAGGAGACCAGTCTGCCAGTCCTGGCCCCCAGGCCTCCCAGTTGTCTTCCTCTATCCCAGGACCTTGCCACACTGCTGGAACAGATCGGGTGTCTGAAGTACCTGCAAGTGTTTGAGGAGCAGGACGTAGACCTACGTATCTTTCTGACTCTCACAGAAAGCGACCTGAAGGAAATTGGCATCACGTGAGTCCCCAAGTGCCTCCTCCCACCCCACCAATTTCAGCTGTCTTTCTAGCCTATACTCCAGCAGGTAGGATGAGCAGCCTGTCTAGACACTTGGCCTTTGTGCTCACATGGCTCCAAGATGGCCTTGCTGCTGTATGCTGGACCTTTGATGTTTTCAGCTTGTTTTTTTGTGATTTTAAAATATTTTTTTCATGATAACTGTCACAGTTCTGGAGTTAGTATTTTATAGCACAGGTTTCTTGGTTCCTAAAAGCTTGACTATAAAATCTTTTAATATAAAATCCAAACCATGCAATATGCCTTCTGTCTCAAAACATCCCATATACACAACTGCAGTTTGTGACTTGGCTGTAACTCCATGGGTGGCTCTCACATCGGAAGTGCTCTCCCCTAGGTGGCTCTGCTGCAGCAGGAGTCCTGCTCTCTGCAGGGCTTCCTTAGTGTTTGCCTATCTGGGAATGTCTGACTCTCTCCTGCACTTTGGAAGGACAGTTTTTCCAGGTAAAGGATTCTTGGTGACAGCTGTTTGCTTTGGCACTGTGGCTGCCTCAGCCTTGTAGAGTTTTGAACGAGAATGTGCAGGTACTTTACTGAGGCTCCCTGCATGGGACAAGCTGCTTTTCTTTTGTTGCTCCGGGGTTAAGTCTTTAGCTTAGCTGTGTGTCCTGGTATTCATCATCTGTGGAGTTCACTTGGGATCACAGATGTTCATATATCTGAGAGAGGGTGGAAGTTTCTAGCTGCTAGCTCTTGAGACCCTCTGCCCGCCTATCACTGAGGGAGAGGCCTGACCCTATGTGGTCTCCAACTCTGCTTGTGGTTTTCATTCTCCTACTCCTCAGACTGAATTCCATTGTGTTCCAGTTTGCTCGTTCCAATTCGGGTGTTCTGTCCTTTGTCTGCTTATGTACGGCTGCGTCTGCCTGTTTCAGGAGGTTTTACCTCAGTTACCATACTTCTTTGTTTTACATTTCTCTCCATTGTATCTCCATTTTGTATTGCTTCCACATCATCTTTTAGTTCTGATTATCTTTAAGATGGTTGTTTCAAGGCCTTTGTCTAGCAGACATGCTGCAGGGCTTTCTTGGAACTTCTGTGGTTTATTCTCCTGTAAATGAACCATACTCTTCTCTTGTCTTTTAATTTTGTTGTTAAAATGGATACTTGAGACTCTTAGGACCTCCCCCTTCCCTGGGATCTGCAGGTTTTATTTTTGTTGACTTACTGTTGTTGGCTGCCTGCCTCTGTGCACAGGACTAGCTGGAGGGTGGAACCTGAAGCCCCTCAGACCCTGCACCTTTCCCTAGGCACGTGTGATGACTTTCCTCCCATCTGTAGTTGCTTTGAGACAAGCCACTTCTATGTAGTCAAGAATGATCCTGAACTCTCAGGCCCACCTTCCAAGTTCACCAATGTTCTGAGCATGCAGGTACTTTCAGTGTCCTAGTCTTTATTGTTGGCTCCCTACACAGGGAAAATGAAGAAATAAGAGGTGTCACCCCTTAGACGCCCCCCCTTCCTATCTCTTCAGGCATGAATGAGTGGCTTGCAGTAGCCCCCAGTAATCAAAACCTCTGTCTTGATACTGGGAGGGCAGGGTCTGCCTTGCCTACCCTGCTTCCTCCATGTTGGGTCTGGGTGGCTGCTGCTATGCAGAGCTAAGCTTAGCCTAAGCTGGCTGCACTCACTATGAAAGGCTGCAGTGACTCCCAGGGTACTTGTCTGGAGGGGAGAGACTCCTGGAGATCTCCCTTAAGAGCACAGATACAGTTGTCCAAGCCTGAAGCCAATGATGGTGGAGGCTTTTTGGACACACTTGTTTTGGTTCTCTGCCCCAGGATCTTCTACAACCTCCCTTCTTCAGAGTTAGGTGTTCCTTAGCGACCTGGTGGCAGGTTAATACCAAGGTCCATGCACATGATAGAAGCTGACATGCACCCTGATTTACCCATTCAGGTTGTTTGGACCCAAAAGGAAAATGACCTCTGCCATTGCCCGCTGGCACAGCAGTGCCCGCCCACCTAGTGATGCCCTAGAGCTGGCCTATGCTGACCGGCTGGAGGCTGAGATGCAGGAACTTGCCATCCAGCTGCACAAAGTAAGTTTGGAAGTCCTGGTGGGCTGTGGACACAGGATGCAGAGGACATCTAGAGTCACACCTCGTAGCAGGGGACTGAAGACAGAAAACTAGAAGGTAGATGGAATAGCAAAAAGTCAGATGAATTTAGGAGAAGAGCTAGTTAGAGAAAGTGGCTCACACAGAGCCTGTCAGCTGCAGAATGGAGCCAAATGAGTAAATCTTAGAACAGGCTGGGGAGAGGCAGACAGGCACCCTAACAGACTGGGGAAATAAGCAAGCATGGGCCTTGGCATCCTGGCTGGGCTGTCTAGCCTAGTATTTCCCCTACAGTGCTGTGAGGAGACAGAGGCTCTGCGTGGCCAGGTATCCCAGGAGCAAGAATTGCGGGCTGTAGTAGAGAGCTGCCTCCTGGAGCAGGATAGTGCCCGAAAGGACATCCATGCCCAGCTGCAGGAGGCCCAAACCCTGGCCCAGGATGCTGCTCTTGTCCTAGACCAGCTGCGGTAAGTGAGCTCACATACTCAGGTAGACACCCCCTCACACCTGTCGGGCATTGTCCCTTCCTAATCCTCTAAGCAGGTGAGAGGTGGGGAAACCATAGTGCCTTTTCTTGGGGCTCTGTCTCCCACAGTGCAGACCTGGGATCTGCATGTCTTTCCAGCTGACTAGTATGGGGCTTCTCAGGCTGGCTACAGGGCTGAGTTGGTCTTCCTTACCCCAGTTGTTTGGGTTTGGGTTGGCAGTAGGGACTCTTCTGTATTACACTTGGTCATATGTCCTGCAGGGCATGTCAAGCTGAGCTGTCAGCTCGAGTGAGACAGCACCACTCCCCCAGTGAAGCTACCCAAAACCCACCCTTTCTCCCAGCAGGTAAGAAAAGTAATAGCCTGGCTCTGGACTAGGATAAGGGTGGGCAGGAACTCCTAAGCTAAGTTCCAACCAGTGGCTCTGCATAGCTGTCATAGTGGCAACCCTGTCCCCAGAACAAGCTCACTTGTGATAAGACATGTGGTGTTACACTTAGTGGGTAGGTGGCAAGTGTAAGAGCCATTGTCTCATGTCCCTAAGGCCTCTAGTGAAGTGAGTGACTGCAGCTCCCAGGGTTCAGCTCTACTTAAGCCTGGACCTTAAATGGCAGCTATGAAACTTGTGGCTGGGTACAGACATAAGAGGCATCCCTGCCTTGGGTGATCACTCATGCGTCAGCAGTGAGGACATACCTGTTGCCAACCTACCATTCTATATCACAGATTCCAAAGGCTGGCCTATTCCCCTGCAGGCCTTGAGCCTCCCTGAGCTGTCAGGAGTCCTGGAAGACCGTGTCCATGTGATGGGTAAGTCTCCAGGAGTGTAGCCAAGGCTTTTAACCTCACCCTTCCCCAGACCTTCTTCTATGGACTGAGGCTGAGACCTGACCCCAAAGCTGGCCATACCCAGACAGCTCAGAGCCCTGAGTAGTTTTACCCTAGGGTCACCTATCCACAGTGCCCTGGGTTTCCCTTCTAGACTGCTGCTGAGACTTGATCACAGAACACTCACTGATTGGTCCTATCCTTAGGGCAGGCATTATGCTCTGTAACGCAGAGTCTGGAGAAACTACAGATGCTGAATGGGAAGAAATGGCGGGAATCGTAGCCATGAAGGATGGTGAGAGTATCCACTACATGCTCATGGGTGCCTTGGACAGTCACTTAACCTTCCTGTCCCTTCTTACCAGGTACTCTCTCCCCCTCTCTTAAATTTATTCAGATTCTGACGTTGGGTGATAAGTCCACCCTGAAGTTATGTGCCACGCAAGACAGGGCAGTGAGCAGATGGCTGCGGCAGCCCAGGGAGAGAAGAACCAGCCCAGGGAACAGCTTGTGGACAGGAAGACAGGACTTCAGTCCCTACTAGGGCAGCTTGGGGCAGCTTGGGCCAGCCCTGAGACAGGATGAAGGGCCTAGCACCCAGGTCCTGGTGGAGAGGCCCACGCTGGTAGGCAGCTTTTGCCCAAACCAGGCAGGGCTGTATGGAGAGGGTGTGTCCTGCACATGCAGGTGCCACACTAAGGTTTGATCTTACAGGCGAGGTCTGGGGGGCCTAGAAAATGTACTCTTTGAAAATAAAATTAGATGCAAGTTGGTGGGGGCTCATTTCTGATCACGTGATATGTATTCCTGATACCAAAAGACCCTAGTAACTTGTCTGTGGTCACTTCTGATCTCCATCCTTAGCTGTGGGGGGTCACCCTTGCTCCAGGGTCTCTCCCCTGCTCTTGGATTGTTCCTAATCCCTAAAGTGTAGCTGGCACACAGCCTTCCTTATTACCCAGCCAGTCTTGAGCTTTGGGAATTCTCCAGCTTTTCCAGTGTTTCTGCACCAGGCTATAGGACTGCCAGCAGTGGCAGTCCTGTCCCGTGGTGGCACCTCTATTGTCCCTTTGCAAACTAGATCTGTGCTTTCAGCTCCATCCTCACCACAAGAGCTCAATTCAAGCTGCCACCCAGATTGGTTGTCCTCAGAGGCTGGCTGTGGTCCTGGGCCCAACATCCACATACCTCAGAGAAAGATGTGGCCATGCCACTTAGAGGCAGACAGGAGCATCAGAGGAATGGCTTTATTGTCTTCTTCCTTCTTCAGTTTCACAGAGCTGAGCCAAAGCCCTCATGGGGAGCAAAGCCATGTGGGGCACAGCCATTCTGAAACCAACCCACAATTCATACACCAAGAAAAAAAAAAAACCTAACAGAAAAATCCAACAACCACCCAAACAAACATCTTACCCCAAGCTGGATCAGGTTCTGGGCTAAGGGAAGGAAGGACTGATCTAACATGGGTCATCTCTATTGAACAAAACCCATGACCAGTCGAGCATTTGTGTATCAACCAAGTGGTTGCCTTGGAAGAATGGGCTCTAGCTGGGACTCCACCAGTCATGAACAGACTCACACAGGACAGTTTGAGTCCTGGGACGGGTGAGGACATTTTCAGCTTGAAGAGCTAGACCCAGGCCCAGGCCCACCCACTGACCAACCTGAGAGGGTAGCTAGGTCCCAGGGACTGCTTGGGACAGTAATGATGAACAGCTGCCTGCTTGTCCCTTGCAGTCAGAAGGGATGCAAAACCAAACACACTAGAAGGCACACTTCTTGGAAATTCCAGGGCCTGTGGGCAGAGACAGCCAAGGGAGGGCAGGGACCTGCATAGGAACCACCTCAGGATGAGGCCGGGAGCAGCTTTTCTAGGGCCTTCTTCTGCTTCTCTGTGGCCGAGGCCAAGGCCTCCGCCAGCTTTTCCGAGGGCATCATGTTGAGTACCTTAAGGGCAAATAGGAGCTGATATTTGGCAGTGCTGACGAAGGCGTTGCTCAGAAAGTTAGGAAAGCCTCCGACTCGATCCTTCTGTGTGTACAGTGGGACACGTACAAGGCCCAGGACCTGTGGGACAGAGGGCATGGGTGGGGCTGGGCTCCCCTTGTAGAGGCAGGACCCTGGCAGAGATGCCTATCAGCCACCAGTTTGCCAAACACACAGGGAGATGCAGGCAGGGTCTGGTCAGGCAAGGCTGGTGGCAGTAAAGCCCCTCCTCCCCAAGTTTCAAGACCAATCATATGCACTCCCCACCCTTGTCTGGCAACAACTCTCATGATCCCTGGTTTCACTCCATGCCCCTTAGACCGGAATATCCCCAAATTTCCTCTCAGGAGATAATCCTGAATGCTGCAACCCAGTCTTTTTGGTCTGTTCTCAATTTCCCAAGCAGGCCCTGATCATCCATCCCTTCCAGTGACCCCAAGCCCCACTCCCAGGATTGACAATGGCAGACAACAAGGCAAATGTAAACAGCCCAGGACCCAGACCCCAAGTCCCTCTTCCCACCCAGCATAGCCAGGGTGAGGACCCTGAGGGGCACTTGTTACCCATCGGAGCCTTCTGTGGTGCCAGAGCCAAACCTCAGGAGTGGGAATGGGGGCGGGCCCCAGGCAGTAGTCCCACCTCCAGACCGTGGTCCCGTGAGTGCACAGCGCTGATCTCCACAGCATGCAGCTGTTCCAGTGTCAGCTGCCGTGCGTACAGGTGTGCCACCTCACGGTGTGGACCCTCAGTCAGGTGTGAACTCAGGTAATCAGCTTCGGTAAGGCGTAGGCCGCCCAGGCCCAGGCCTAGCACCCGGTTCAAGCCATCCTCCAGTGACCAGAAGCGCCGGTCCACGAAACCCCCGGGAAAGCCCAGCAGCCCGTCGAAGCGCATCTGCATCTACAAGGTAAGCCTGGTCAGGACGCGGGGTCCACTGGATGTCCCAAGCCTGTATCCGCCCTGCTTGCCCGCCCAGCTCCTCACCAGCACTGAGAAACGCATGGGGATACGTCCGAAAAGCTGCCCAGGGTTGGCGGCGTACAGCATGGCGTGGCATGAATGGCTCCAGCCGGGCCCCAAGCGCATTGCTTCCTCCCGGCTGATCTGCTTCAGCTCCGGAACCGTCGTGGTCGACATCTTGATGTGCTCCAGGCCCACTACCCAAACGAGCATGCGCGACCCCGCCCACAACACCCAGACCCAATCCACGTGCTTTCACGTGCATAAGCCCGCCCCCACCAGTCCTGAGAGGCTGGGGTTGAACCCAGCAAAGACCACAGCCCCTGGCAGAGGTGGGGTGTGGGTGGGGTCATGTAGTTCGCCACTCTCCAAGTTGCACAGGAGACCCCCCCCATGACACCAGAAAACTACAACTCCCAAGACACACCGCACGGAGGCCAGGTTGTCCTAGGAGGTACACTGATTATCGAGATGTGCTAGTCTTGAATATGGCTGAGAGGGCAGCTGGAAGTCTCAATATCCACCTCATCCATGAGGAAGATTTTTCCCTGAGACTCAACCCCAAGCTTGTGGCTCCACTACCCTGTGAAACCCTGCCTTTAAAGACTTAAGCGTTTAAGTGACTCCAGCTCAAGTGACGGGGGACCTAAGCCTTATCATAGGCCTTGCCCTCCTCTGGCACACTGATTAGCGCTCAGAAAAAATCACAGGAGTTGGGGTGGGCATAAGAACTAGGACCACCTGCCCACCTGGAGGCTGAGATCCATCAATTGCTCAGTGGAGGTGAGCCAAAATCCAAGTCCAGTTTCAGAGAGAGCAAGCAATAAAACAATAGCAAAAAAACCATTGTCTATGTTTGAAGGGGTACTCACTGCCCCTCTCACACAAGCAAATGAAGGCAGCACCAAAATCTGTCAGGAGTTCTGCCAGAAACCACTCTAGTGTCCTGTTACTACACCAAAAGCCAACAGTGCTGCTGCCTACACAGTGCTGTGCCAAAACAAAGGCACACATAGAATATTGCTGCATGATTTTATTACTATAAATATACAGTAAAAATGAACCCAAAACTAGCCAATCAAAGTACATCAAATGATAGTACATGTGAATCTGAGACAGGTAAGTGTGCAGTCTGCATCCCATCTTTCAAAGTACTGGCACCAGTACCATGGCCAGAGGCCAGGGTGTTGTTGGCAGGTGAGAAGGGGTGGGCATGCACATGCTGACATGTGTGCACATATGTGCATTCAGCAAGAGAGAGAGATGGATGTGCAGACAGAGCTGTGCTTACAGGCTTACCAGAGGCCAGCCCAGCCACTGCTAGGAAGGAGCAGGGAAGAGCCAGAGCTCAAGCAACCCTGAGCCTAAAGGGGTCTCCATGCATTGCTACAGGCTGTCACCTGGGTGAGTGGCAAGGCAGCTCCTTAGGCTGAGGTCCCTCTACCAACCCACCAGGGAGATGCACTGCCTGGGGCACCTCTGCCCTGGGGGCACCCATGGGCCACTTCTACCTTAGAAGCAAAGTATCACTAGGATCCTGCTCCTAGGTGGGCTCTAACAGAAGCCTTAGACAGTAGATCAGTAAGGAATGTAAAAGGACAGGTAACTGGCAATGGATCTGCTGTGGAAGCTGCTCAGGCTCTTCCCTGGCAGGTGGTGGGCAGTGTTGCCCTGCAAGCACGAACATCTACATCTTGGAGGTGTGAGGGGATGTGAGTGAGGCAGGACCTGCGAGGGGGTACTGGATACCAACCACTGCAAAGGACTGTGGCGTTAACACAGTCCGACTACCCAGGCCTTGCCCACAGCTGCCAGAGGTCACTAGAAGGTAATAGAGCAGAGCTGGAGGGGACCTGGAGGCTCCAAGGAGGGTCACCCATGGTCAGGACATCTGTAAGGTGACAGCAGCAGTGACAGCCTGGCTGCCTTGGGTCACATGAGACAGGCAGACAGGCACTGTTCCTTCATCAACCGTAACCTGGGGGGGGGGGGGCACCTTCCAGAACATTTGTGAAGATGATACTTCACTCATAGGCAGATTCTCTTATGCTGGTTTGCTAAGTGCTCAAAGCATCATCAGCTCTGACAGGTGGGGAGAGTCCCTCTAGGGCTCGTGGCCCACGGAGCCAGCTGCTGTCCTTCATCCTGTACCATTTACAAATATATCGACCATAAAAAGGAGGGTGTGTGGAAGAACCACCCACTGTGCAATCTGATCAAGGTTCACTGTGGCCACATGAGGTGTGCAGACAGGAGAGGGTCTCGCTGTGGTCCAGGGAAGCCTGCTGGCAATATCTGGGATGCTGAGGGCTCTGCGCTGCCTGCGGAGCCAGAGTCTCAGAGTGGGGTCAGCTCAGCAGCTCCAGGCTCAGGACTAGAGCCACTCAGCAGAGGCCAGGGGGAGCTGGTAGTGCCAAGGCTGTGTGGCGTCTCCATGGAGGTGGACCATCCTGTAGGTGGGAGCAGAGGAAGGAAGGGTCATGATTGGCTGGTGGTCTTGCATCTGTTCACCAACCCAGAGCCTCATGGGGGCAGGACCACCTAATACCCTCCACCCCATAACCTAGGTACATACCATCTGGCAGGAAGAATACATGTGACCTCATAGAAAGCTAGGGACCCTTGAGTCCTAGGCAATGAGTTACATCTGTCCTCCATACCTGGGACAGATCATCCCTCAGTACCAGACAGGAGAGCTGCATGCACAGGGTAGCTGTGGGCTGCTGACCACTGGTTCTCCTACCCTTGATTACACTTCCTGGACCTCAGAAATACAAGTCAAGCCAAGAGCTTTACCACTGGGTTAACCAACTCTAGCACAGGAAAGGGAGCAGGTGGGAACAAAGAAACTGGAACTTGGGTGGCCTGGACAAGAAGCCCCACTGGAGAAGCGGGCCTGAGCTTGTGTGTCTTCTACAGAGGACCCTCTGCTCAGTCCCAGAGGTCAGTGCTATGATGCTGTGTAGTGTTATCCCAGGGCAGAATTTGGAGACATGGACAACTCCAGTTCTACCCTCCACTTTAGAAGCTATAGCTTCCAGAAAGGCAACCTATGATGCATTTCCCATCTGTGGCCTAAGTTCCAACCTAACCCCAACACAGCTGCCCCTTCCTCCTACAGAAGCTATAAATAGCAGTGTTGTTTCAGGAGTGCAGCTCATAGGGGGACAAGCAAGTTCTGAGAAACCATGAACCCTACCAAAACCAGAGAAGCAGCACCAGGCCTGGATCTCTGGCTCATGGGAGAGGAGTTGCCGCCTACTCTCACAAACGAGGTACTTCCCAGACAGGCTGTGTGAACCCCGCTACGATGATGCCATCCTTCTGAGGAACCCTGGCAGGAAAGGCTGCTAGCCCCTCTGTAAGAACCTTAAGAAGAAAGAAGAGTCCCCACTTGTCAGCCTAGTTTTCATGGATGCTTCTTTACTGGCAATCTGGGCTACTCTGTGGCCATGCATCTCTCCAACTGGGCACCAATCTCATTGGTCCCTAAGACTGTGCGTGTGGTGTGGCAGGTTTCAAAGACGGGATGGACAGGTTCCCGGTGGCAATGATGGTCTCAAGACAGAAAAGCTGAGCAGTCCACAAGAAGGCTGCATACCAGGAAAGGGGACAGGCCAGTGACAAGTGAAGGAGGCATGAAGAATAATGCCCTTTGCACAGGAATTGAGAGGAATTGCTTTGCCTTTAAAAAACAAAAAACAAAAAAAAAAACAAAACAAAAAAACAAACAAACAAACAAACAAACAAAAAAACAGAGACAGGGTTTCTCTGTGTAGCCCTGGCTATCCTGTAACTCCCTCTCTAGACCATAATGTCCTGGAACTCAGAGATCTGTCTGCTTCTGCCTCCTGAGTGCTGAGATTAAAGGCATGTGCCATCATGCCTGGTATTATATTTTTTAATGTTTTATTTTCATTTTAAATATGAGTGTTTTGCCTGCATGTATTTCTGTGCACAAGTTGTATGCATGGTACACACAAAGGCCAGATAAGGGTGTCCAATCCTTTGGAACTGGAGTTACTAAGAGTTGTTAGCTGTCATGTGGGTACTGGGAATCAAATCAGCGTCTTCTGGGGGAGAAGCCAGTGCTCTTAACCACTGAACCTTCTTTCCTGTCCCCCCAGGACACAACAGACCTGGGAGGACATACGTGTCCCATAGACTAAAACACTGATGGGAGCAGGTGATCTAGGGCCTCCCATGACTGGTGCAAATCTGAACTACTGCTTAAAGCCATAACCACAGCTAAGGCAGGAGGAATGTATATTAAAAGTATGTTTGGGCTACAGAACAAGTTGAAGGCCAGACTGGGGGGCTTTGTAAAATAAGACCCTGTCTCAAAAAGTAAAGAGGGCTGGGGATATAGTTCAACGGTAGATGCCTACCTAGGTTCAATCCCCAGTACTGAATTTTGTTTTTTTAAAACCACAGACTACTGTGTGCAGGCCCCAGGACATTGCTGCACATGTTCCTAGGGCTCCCTGACTCTCCAACTCCTTCCTCCTACCAGGGATAGTAACTCCAGAGCCTGAGCTGAGTTACTGCTCAAGGGACCCTACATTATCACTTTAGAAGAGCCTGGATGGACAACTGTCCAGGTAGGAGACCCTCTGGCTCCAAAGCCAGGATCGCCAGGAAGCCACCTTTCAGACACAGAGGTGCAGCAACCATCAGTGGCTCTGGACTCTGGATCCAGAAAGCACCCCTTGGGGAATTGGGCTCTTTTCTGCAGATACACCCAGCCAAGCCACCAAAAGCGTGGAGGAAAGATCACGTACCAGCTTACTCCTCTATACCAACAGAGCACGACTCAGGACCCAGGGCTGTGCAGAGAGGAGGGAGAGACAGACGGAGCTCAGTTAGCAGAAAGGCATGAACATTAGGGTCAGGGGTGGGAACTATCTAGAAACAGACTATCCATACATCACCTGCTGCAACAAGAATCACCAGGATAGATCCTGGATAACTTTCTAACCAAGAGAGAGACGTATGTATGTGTGATGGTAACGGCACAGATGGTAACTCTTGTGGCTATGGAAGCCAGACTACTGGACCATGGAGAGGACCCAGCAGAGCCCTCTCTGTTTCATGGATTTCCCCCAGTCTTGTTCTTTCCATCTGCAGGAGACCTGGATTCAGCTGTATCCAGAGGATAGTACTAAAACTGTCAGAAAGTAAAGATACCAGCTACATGTATGTTCTTTACAAAGATAAAAGATACGCAGCCTTATCAGACAAAAGCCAGAAGAAAAGAGAGTACCATTGTGTGAGTAAGAAACACATGCAGATATGTACAACTGCTTCCACCCCTTCCACCACCCTCCAGAGGTGCTCCAACAGAATGTGCAGAGATAGCAATCCAGGCTACTGTCCTGGAGTAAGCCTCTATAACCAATGGTTCTCGGAGTGGGACTCAGATCCAGAAGCAGTTCTTGTGCAGAGCTGGCCAAGACTAGCCCTTCTGCAGCTGTGCATACACCCTGCCTCTCCTATAGCTTCTATAGCTGACTACCTCCACTTACTTAGTGGACCTAAACAAGGCCTAAGACCTTTGCCTACAGTTGTCTCTATGGCTAGTCCTAATGTGCTGCAGGCCACAGCAGGGATTAAATACTCTATGCTAGACAGTGTAGGTGCCCTCAAGGCCATCTGCAGGAGCAAAGCTCATACTGGGGACTCTAGAGGCCCAGGGACCTCTCCTGACTCCCTGCTTAGCCAAATTAACAATAACAACAGATACCTGAGGTGTTCCCAAGAACATACTAGAACTGTGTCCCTATGGAATGTGCTGGTTCTAAACACACTTCATCTATGGGTTTGTTTTGGATAGGCCATGGTGATCTACTAAGACAACCCATAGCTGCTCTCCCACACCTGATGATTTGATGACCCCTGTGTCCTGAACAGCCTCTATGGGCCAGTTACTTCACATCCTTTCTGACAAAGGATGTCACAATCCACCAAGCGACCCTGGAAGAGTGAGCAAGACTGGCCTCAGCAGGAAGCAGTGTCAAAGGAGTTTTCCTGTTATGTGGAAGCAGCCCAGCTCCCTTAAGTAGCTACTTTTAAGAAGGTGTAGCTACTTACAAGTTGTAGTGGCTGTTTATCCAAATTCCCAAATACCAGTAAGTCTGAGAGACCCACTTCTACCCCAGATTTGAAGCTCCCAGTGTGAAGCTCAGGACTTCATCCCAGCAGAAAAGAGGAAGAACTAAGCAACAGCCTGTACCAGAACCTTCAGAAAAGAACAGCAAGCTCCTGGCCCACTGCCAGCGGCCCAACTGCTGTACCCTACATTTAGCCCTCAGGCCTGACTGGGAATGTGCTGCTGTACACCTAGACAGTATCCTAGGTCAGCCCCTGGCAAACATCTCTCTGGTCTGGGCCACAGAGGATGAAAGAATGCAACCTCAGCAGGAAGTAGCAAGAAAACCAGAGAAAGGACTTTGTCCTTTTGCAAGTAGCTTTTCCTGCCTTCCTCAGGCAAAGTTTACCCAGGGTGGGAAAGAACCCTAGGGCCAGCAGGAAGCCAGAAGGCAGATTAAGCCAGGCCTGACCTGCTGTGGGGATTAGCAGAGAAGAGTTTAGAGCCAGAGAGGACCTAGACTCTGAAAGGGACAACAGGTCTCAGAGATTCCCCTTTTCCTCCTGCCCCCTCAGAGACAGAAGAAGGCTCTGCCCAAATGTTAACATTTAACATTTTAAATGTTACCTGGTAGGTAGATGTCAGCAGGAGGGACTGGTTGGCTGCAACCGTGATGCTGGGGACTGCCATCCTGCAGGACATCATCAATAGAGGGTACTCGGCTCCCTGCAGCAGGTAGAGGAAATCAGGACCCACAGGTAGGAGATGTCCTTGTGGTCCACTCTGACTCCATAAACTCCAGAGACCACAGTGGGCATATGCATAAGGTAAGAAGTTTGGTTTCTTTTGTTTCAAAACCAGTCTAGTTGGTGGCAGGTAGTAGCTATTCTTTGCTCTTCCTTGCAGCTGAGCAGTTAGAAATGGCCCCATTACCCCAAGGGCTGGTGAGGTGTAGGGCAGTCTTCTGGAGTGGCCTTGAGGACCATGCCTAGTTCTGCCTTACACAACAACTTGAACCTGAATTCCTAACGCCTATAGACTTTTCTGCCTAGGTAAAGAGCTTGCAGACTGGGAGGAGCCCAGGCCCTAGGTGGGAAGCTGAGGCCCTGCCTGAGGTAGAGGGCAGAAATACAAGGCCAGGCTAGAAAGACTGAAGTGACCACATTGCTCTTAGAGGGTGCTACCCCACTCACACCCAGGGCCTCAGCCTCCTGCAGGTGGGCCTCATATGAGGGGACTTCTCAGCAGGATGTAGGACACAACAGAGCAGCTACAATTACATGGAGGCTGGGGGGGAGGGGGGCGCACATCATCATTCTTGACCTTCACTGCTAGTTACAGCCATGTCTGAGTCAAGTGGCCTTGGGCCTCTCCTAGATGCCAGCCCTGAATCTTGCTTTACTTTTCTGTCCAGCAGTAACATGGCAAGGACTAAGCAGTGGCAGGCTTGAGGGGGCTCCAACATTGCCAGCAAGAAGAATGGGGGATTCCAAGCCTCCTAGGCTACCTATCAAGCCCTCCAGTATAGGGAGGTAAGGAGATATCAGCTGTCCTCAATTCATCAGGAAGAGACAGCCAGGAAATTCTAAAAAAACATTACGACAAATGGCTACCATACTGGGGCAGACCTTCCAGCACATGCTATGCTGGCCAGTGTCACAATGCCCTTACCATCTCTGCACACTCATTGTCCAGGTTCCTGAAGGCAAGAGCGGGGTAGGGGTGAAGGGGTGTGTGTCCCTAGCCAGAACCCAAAGCTTGCCAAGGGCTCAGGGTCAGGCCTGGGAGAAGTGGCTCACCTTGCTTTAGGGATGACTCATCCACCTCCTCTGTTCCAAAACTCTAGAAGACAGAAGAGGAAAGGCTTCTGGTACAAACGTCCTCTGGTCAAAAGGGCTAAATCCCTGAACTAAGCTGAGGGCAGTGGTCAGCAGATGCCACAGGGAAGCAAAGATGTCACGAGAAGCTAGGCTTCACACGTGGGCTTGCCTATAAGCTTCAAAGTGACTCTACCACACGGCACTCCAGCCTGGTCAGGGCACTGACTCGTGTGGCTGTGGATCGATGTGGCACTGCCTAGAGGGCTTGGGAGGGGTCAGGATCAGTGAGCAAGGCCTGGGGAAGGCTGGCCAGGGCCTCCTGAGAAGCAAGCCTCACCTCAGGGGAGCTGCTGTCCCGCAGCACCAGCTCCACACCACTTGGTGGGAGAGGAGCATCCGAGTCCTCCGAGAGCTTTTCCTCATCCTCCTCATGGATGGGGGATGATGGAGACCGCAGGGTGCTGGGGAGAGGAAGAAGGAAGCAGGGCTATAGGACAGCTGTATGAGGAATGCAGTTCTACAAAAGCCACGGGCCAGCAGCCTCTGCATATACTCCTGGAGACAGGTAAGAGGCCTCTGGGGGAGAGGTGACATTTCTGCAAAGATTCAAAAAGTGAACCTGCTCAACAGGGGTTCCCGAGGGAGTGGTGTACCTCAGCACAGACCTGAGCGACCAGAGAGCCAGGCCTGCCCAGCATCCTCTGGCCGCACAAGGACACCAGCAAAGGCCCAATGGCCTGACACTGTAAGAAGAGACACATTGAGCCCCAAGCAAACAGGAGAGGGGACTGTGTCTCTGGAGTTGTTCTGCCATATACACAGAGTACAAGGGCCTGGGCAGCTTGCAGAAGGCATACCTTATAGTTTTCTCCATGAGAACATCTGCATAGTAAGACTGGCCAGCCTCCATGCTAGTCTCCAAGGGAGCAAGGCTGACTCCTGGACAGCCTGAGGAATGTGGTGCCAGAGCCCCTTGTGATGCTGAGGATGGAGCTGGAGCTCTGGGGTAGAACCCTGGCCTGGCACGCACATGACCCTCCAGAAACACACAGATACACAAGACCCACCTCTGACAGGAGATCAATATTGAGGGCACATAGAACCACAAAAAGTTATTCTCCACACAGCAAGTAATCCAATCAATAAAGGAATTCAAGGCAGTTTGCAGAAGAAATACAGCCTGAGTTGTGTGGCACACGGTAGAGAACCAGGGGAATCGGGGCTCGAGGCCAGCAGTCAAGGTTGCATGAGAGGGTCTCAGAGGACTCAAAAAGAGGAAGACTGCCAGGAAGTGGTGCCGCATGCCTTTAATGTCAGCATGCCAGTGGCAGAGGCAGGGAGATCACTGCATCCAAGAACAGGCTGGTCTACAGAATGAGTTCCAGGACAGCCAGCACTACACAGAGAGACCCTGTCCTGGAAAACCAAACCAAACCAAATAAATTAGTTGATGTCATTTGCAGGAAAACTGATAGAACTAGAGATTATGTTTTAAAAAATGAGCCAGACTAAGATTCCTCATGTGCTTCAGAATCCAGATTTTAATAAGTATAAACTTAATAAGTATATTAACATGGGGCGTGAAAGCAGAAGGGGACTGTGTGGGGGAGAAGAGGCCAAAAGGAGGCCGTGACAATGCAGGGTAATGAAGGTGTGTAAAATGAGGCTGTTTAAGGAGAGGAAAGGAGCCAGGATGGGGTGTGTGGGAGGAGCTCCAGCACAACAATGATACAGCTGTGTGAAATGCTAGTGACTACCACTGTTTGGTATGCTAGCCAAAAATAGGATTAACAGTAAGAAGAAAAGGACAACCTAGCAAAAATACCCATTTAAGTCTCATGCTACTATAAAAGCAGTAGATACAACTTGCTGAAAGCTGAGGGTCATCCAATACCAACAGAAGCAGTGGAAAGAGTTGCTGCGGAGAGCCTGGAAAGGGAGCACACATGTGGCTCAGCTGACATAGGTAGCAGTGGCAGCAGGGTGTGCTGCCTGGCATTGTCAACCTGGTACAGACTCAAGCCCTCTGAGTAGAGCTTAAGTCTGTCCTGGCATTTTTCTTGGTTAATGAATTATTGATGGGGAGAGCCCAGCCCATTGCAGTGGGGCCATCCCTGGGCAGGTGCTCCAGAATGTATAAGAAAGCAGGCTGAACAAGCCCTGGGAAGCAAGCCAGGAAGCAGCACCCTCCATGGCTCTGCATCAGCTCTTCCCTCCAGGTTCCTGCCCTATTTTGAGTTCATGTCATAGATGTAGAAGTGTAAGTCATATAAACCCTTTCCTCCCTAACTTACTTTTGGTCACAGTGTTTTATCACAGTAAGAGAAATCCTAACTAAGACACAGGTACACCTGCTTCACACCTCAGCAACCCCATCGCAGCTGCTGCTTTGGTGAGATATGCTTAAGTGACCAGCTGCCAAAAATTCCAAGATTCAAATCAGCTCCCTGGGCAGGGACATGGCACAGGCCTGTACAATTTACTGACAGCAAACAATTGGTGTGGCTTGAGGCCTTGTGAGCACTAGGAGCCTCAGCCCAGAATTTTCCATGATGTGCTGCTCTGCTCAGTGCTGGCTATGCCCAACTATGGCAGAGTCTAACCTGCTGCAGGGGGCCTTTTGAGTATCAAGTTGGGAGTTGATACTTGGGAGTATCAAGGAACAAAATGTACCATAAAGTTCTGTAAAACCACAGAGAAACCTTGCAAATCTAACATGCACACACAGATCTCTCTCCCTTTCTTACATACGCCCGCTTTCACTCAATGTGCTGACACAGCTCACTAAGAGAGATTGGACACTGGCCTCACCTGTCTGGAGACTTGCTCTGTGTCTTGCCCTTCTGTAGGCCACTTTCTATGATTCGATCAAGTCCAGCAAGGGGACAACTGGCCTGGGAAAGACCGTCCGAGATGCCTGAGTAGGTGATTTCCTCATAGAGGGGAGCTGATGGGATAGCCGGGGAGACAGCCCGTAGACCATTGAGTGCCTCGAGCAAGGAGATGGGCTCGTAGCCAGCTGGGACACTGTCAGAACTCTGTGGGAACAAAGCCAAGTGAGGAGGGACCAGACAGGCTCCTTGCCCACAGCCATGAAACCCCAGAAATGGGACATTCTCCTCTCTAGACCTGCTTGGCTGTGTCTTGATCATGCCACCTTCCAAGGACTTAAGCGCCATCTTGTCAAAAGCTACCGTGCAGAACGGAAGCCATCCTGCACCAGACTCCCTCGGCTACCAGCTCTAGCACACATCCCCACACCCAGATGTCCAGAGTGATCATTAAGTCTGCAAAAGCTACTGTCCCCATCCGTACCGAGGCCCTACACAGCTTGCTGTTCCCCCCTTGCAGAACTGGAAAGTGTGAGGGGTTAGTGAAAACAGAACTCAGGAACAGGCAGAGCAGAGCCATGCCAGAGGCAGGAGAACCAGTGCTGCCCTAGACCAGGGCAAGTATGGCCTCCAGGGACCACAAGCAGAGTGACAGTGGGTATGTGGGTGGGTGCTAGCTACTGCAGCCTCTCATCAGGAGTAGATGGGTTTGGCAGGGGTCAGGGGAAAGGACCATGCCCAGCTTCCAGGGAACAGCAGCCAGGCCGTGGAGTTCTGTAGACAACTGCACTGCACTGCTCCCACAGGCTCTCACAAACCAGGCAGAGGGGCAGAGCTCATGAGTGCTCACACAGGAAGTGGCTACCCTGTGAATAACAGGATGGGGTAACACCCCTGGAACATGTGGTGTGTACCAGGCTGGTCCTCTAGCTAACTCATCTGTTCCCTCCTGCCTTCAACTTAAAGGTGAAGTGGTGCCTCCTGCCCCACACCCTCCATCAAGGACAAACTCATGGTTTCCCAAGTTTCTTCCCTCAGATACATCAACTTTCAACTGACTCAGGCCACTCCCTGACTTTTGCTCTCTCTATCTGATGTCTGGGGTGCAGGGAAAATATCAGAAAACCAGAGTCCTCGGCCCAAAGAGCCAAACGTCAAGAGACAGCCAGCCAGGATGCAGGATGAACAAGCATGCGGGAATGCCATGTGCCAAAAGGAGCGCATTATCAGTTCCACCTTCAACATCCATTCCGACGCCAGCAAGAAACAAAAGGGAAACAGGGCAGTCAGGAGCTACAGCGAGCAAAGCTGGAAAGAAGGGCTGGGCCGGGCGGGGCTGGCTTCCACCGGGCACTGACACCGAACAACAGACCTTCAGCTTTGCTTGTGCCATAAAACTCCCTTCCTGGGCAGGGATGCCGGGACTAGGGAGAGCAGATTTGACAAAGTGTGTTAAACATATGAGCTTGGGGTTAGAATGACCTCCCATACTTGCTGGTTTAAAATTAAGGGCTGAGGCAAAAAACGGAGCTATATGACCAAACACACTTACTGTTTCCCTTTTAGGTTTCTTGCTGGCCAGGGAGGCAGGGTGCGACTTTGATTTTTTAAAGGGACACTGTCAAAATAAAAATCACATGTTTTACAAACTTCTACCCCCACATGGCATGGGGACTAGAGGGTGAGGCAGGCCTCTGGTTTACTGCCCTCCAAGCACACCCAGGAATTCCAGAACTACAGTCTTAAGACTTAAGACCATACTCAACACAACAAAGAGTGTGTGTGCATCAGGGCTCTCTCTGCACAGGTTGCCTGTGCATACAAACGGTTTCTGGGAGCCCTGCAGTGGGTGGGTCCCACACAGAGAAGAAGGGTATGGGTTCTATCCTCATCCTCAACCTAACCCACTCATGGTCGAGGTCTCCTCAGAAGAAGAGGTCTTGGCCAAGGTGGCATGCGAGTGGCTGCTCAGTCAGCCTCATCTTTCCCTAATGACTCTCTGGAGACCTCATCTGTGTACTTCACAGAAATGGCCTCGACAGGGCAGGTGGCAGAGAACAAGCACCCACTTAGGTTCTCAGAACCCTGCAAAAGGCAGCTGGTTCCCAGGGCAGAGTAGGGCTTCTGGCTAATTACAAATCAAGGTTGCATCTATTCTGCAATTGGCTCACTCAGAACAAGAGGACACATAGAAAGGGATCCATCTGACCTTCAACCACCAGGGCAAAACCAGCCAACAAGCCCAGCACTGCCCAGCACCAGTGGATCCCTCTGCAACACTTAGACCCCTCCTTCATGGAGCAGCCCCACCTCAGAGCCATTTCTCCTACAACCAGCAATCACATGGTTGGTGAGAGTATGGTTCTTCAACCAAAGCCCACACAGTATGCTAGAGAGCAGAGCTGCTGCAGGGGCTCTGGGTGTGTGACAGGGGATCGCTCATTGCAGCAGGAATGCCACATCTCTAGTCCAGGGGCCTGAACGAAGCCTCCTTTTTTGAAAGAGAGGCCAAAAAAAAAAAAAAAAAATCTACATTTCATGGAACACTTCTAGGCTTTTAAATGCTGGCATAGGCAGGTATGGTGGTATATCCTTTAATCCCAGCACTTGGGAGGCAGGGGCAAGTGGCTCTCTGAGTTTGAGGCCAGCCTAGCCTACAATGAGTTCCAGAACAGCCTGGGCTACAGAAAGAACCTGTCTCAAAAAACAAAAAAAAGTAAAACCGCTGGCTCAGTTTTCAGAAGTCTGCTGTGGGAGAGTACAGTCCACCTGCTGAGCTTGCTGGTTGTAAATACATGAAGCAGGTCTTCTGGGAACAAAGGCCTTGTCCCTGGATGTCCAGGCCACAGAGCTTATTATTCTTTCCTCTTGAAGTGGAGGCAAGCCCTTCAAAAGCTACCAGTCCCTCTGGCAGATGCACATGGGAGCTAAAGACAAGACCTTGCCCAGACTGCGCTCTCCCTCCTTCCCCGCCCTAGCCTTTGACCTTCTCTTGCAGACTCCACCCATTTCTGGGTGTCACTCTCACACCTCTGAGCACTTCCGTGTGCGTCTCATCTAGTTACTCAAGCCTCCCTCTGTAGGTCTTGTAATTGACAAGGCCTTCCTGACCTGCCTGAAGCAAAGCCTACCTAGGCAGTCTGTAGAGGGCGCTCCAGGCTGAGGCTGAAGCTAGCCCATAGATAGTAACATACAGGGGCCCCTCAAAGAGTGCTGCCTAAGGCAATAAGCTTTCCTTATAAGTGGGTGGACCACTGGAGGTCTACCCTTGCCCAGCAGGCTCCTGTCAGCACAGCACTGCTTGGTCCTTCATTAGTAGCTTGCACGCTGCTGTAGAGGCCATGCCTACCTTGTAGACAAGAAGAAGGAAGAGGAAAGGCACTTACAGAGTGCTCATCGTGGTCCACACTTTGGGCCAAGACAGGGCTGAAAGAGATGGGAGACAGGGCCCCTGGCTTCTTCCGCACAGCCCGGATCTGCAGGAGAGCTCGGAATGCTGTGGCAGAAAGTAAGAATAGCATGTGAGGAGGGATGCAGCTTCAGAGGCAAGGGAGACACTAGAGACTGGACACCATCACACTTTGCCACTCACAGTGCCAAGAAACAGGAAGCATGTTTCCATACCAAAAGCAGAGGGAATCCTTAGCAGATGGAGAACTGGCCGATTTCTAAGGGCAGCTAAGAGACCAATAGCTGTCTAAGGTCCCCTCTACACGTAACAGCAGCTGTGGCTGCCACTCATACCAGTGGGCGGAAAGAGTGGAGACCACAGAGGTCTCTAGACTACAGTCTTCTCCCCGTGAGCTCTTCAGGGGGCAAGACAGGAGCAAGGACATGTGACGTCTACCAAAGACAACTGGGATGGATACTGGTTATGGAGCAGAAGGGACAAATTAGGACAAAGGTCATCTCCTACTGCCAGCTCTGTCCACAAATGTGACCTAGCAGGAAACAGTGTGACATTCCAAAGACACAGTGAAGAGAGGTTAGCTCCATGAATCTAGGATAAATGGGCCATCAATCAGGATCAAGTAAGGTATGCCATCAGCCTGTGTCCTGGTGTCACACAATCAGAGCAGGCCACAGGACAGTGGGCCTTCTATTCACACCTGCAGAAGTTCTGCTTGCTACTTTCCAAATCCTATAGCAGGGCCCTTTCTACCCATCCCTCCAACCTCAGCCCTCCACACAGCTGCCATCCTGAGCATAGCCCATCGCTCCAATGGCTGTGCCCCCAGTTCCCATGTGCTTCCAGCATTGGACACAGACACAAGGCCTGTACACCATTCATCTAGGTTCCTACAACAGCCTCACTTCTCCACAACCACTTGTACCTGGGTATAGAGCAACCAGGAAAAGAAGGACATGCACTGTGGGTAGAACTCAGAGCTCCATATTTGCAGCCCAGCCCAGGACACATACTTGCTTCAACCCTGCTGACCTCCAGGTCCCACTACCATACTCCAAGTGCCCCAGGAGGCCAGGCCTGGTGCTCAGCCTCAGGAGTACTATCACCTCTCACAGACAGAGGCCCTACGCAGCCGTGTATATTCGGGATAATAGGTTTGCAATGGGGCAGTGCTAAAAGGACTACTCCAGAAAGGCAGCAAATCTTGGCCACTTGGTTCACTGGGGATCCTCTATGTAAGAATAGGACCTCTCCTTTGTCATATGTGGGTACCAAGACCTGCAGAAACGCAGGCTGGAACAGTCTTCTTCCCTTGCAAAACGGACTATGAACTACCCAACTGTACCTGTGGTTCCATCTTACCTCAGCTGAGTCACTGGGAGCCCCCGAACAGACACTATATTTTCCCTTTCTGTATATGCAGCCTGTCTCGTGACCCAAAGGAACTGCTACAGTGCTAACCCACACATTATATGGACACACACCTGACTCTCAGTGACAACCACTGTGACACGCTGCTTTCAGACAGTGAGATCAAGAGCAGAAGCCAGAACTCCACCAAGAAGCCATTTTTGACACTACTAGCCATGAACCTGGGTGAGTTTCCTTAGAGTCTACAATGTTGGCAACAACCCGACCATCATCTACGACTTTCTACCCACCACAATGTTCTGCTTTTGACTCACTTTAAGGTTTTTCAAGAACAGTTCCTATGGCACCTTGACAACAGATTCTGTTCAGGGCTTAACCTGCCTGGTTCAAGTGTCACCACACTTCTGCCTCTGATCACTTCTCGATCTTCCTTCTAATCTTTCCCTGAAGGATCAGCACCATGCCTTGCATGAAAAACTCATGGTGTTTCCATTTTTCATACAGTAGGGAATGGCAATCCCCAAACTGCCTGGAATGAGCAGCCCCAAATCTCCTGCATCTTCACAATCAGAACCCTGGGTATGCTCACGCAGCCGGCAGATCGGGCAGTTGTTGGCCTGGTACCGCAGCGTGTCAGCACAGGAAGTGCAGAGGCACAGGTGGCGGCAGGGCAGGATCAGCGTGTCCCGAAGGTCTGACAGGCACACCACACACTCGCTGCTGTTGTCACTGTTTTCGTCATCAGACGGCTGTGGAAACAAATGTCTGTGTGTCAGTGGCTTCATAAGAGCCTGAGGGTGGGCCTGATGCTGCCTGGATCAAGCCCCTCCTGTGTTTATGTGTGCCACCATCCCTAGAGACTGTGTGGCAAAGGGAGTAGGAGGTACCAGGGTCACATGGAGCTCCTCGAGCACTATGGGGGGAGTACCAGGCTCGCACGCAGGGGAGAACCCTTGCCTCCCCCAACTCTAGATGCTATAAAGAAGCAGAGGAAGGAAGGATAGCACTGAACCACAGGTGTCTACAATAGCTGGAACTGTCTAGTCAGCCAAATTATTAAACAGATCTAACTTGGAAATACTTTCATTTATATCAGCTTCCAGAAACTACACCAGGACCTGGAAGGAGAGTAAGAAAATATCTTAAACATGAACAGGGTAACTGAACCTGCCTTTTTTTTTTTTTTTAAATTTTATTTTATTTATGAGTACACTGTAGCTGTCTTCAGACACACCAGAAGAGGGCATCCAATCTCATTACGGATGGTTGTGAGCCACCATGTGGTTGCTGGGATTTGAACTCAGGACCTCTGGAAGAGCAGTCAGTGCTCTTAACCGCTGAGCCATCTCTCCAGCCCTGAACCTGCTTTTTTATTGGAACACTGCTACACATAACCACCTTTGCGCTATCCAGGACTACTTCTGAGCTACAGCTGCAGTACCAAGTAGCTGCCATAGAAACCAGATGGCTGGGCTGGAGAGATGGCTGACTACTCTGACAGAGGTCCCAATCAATTCCCAGCAACCACGTGGTGGCTCACAACCATCTGTAATGGGATCCAATGCATTCTTCTAATGTGGTCCGAAGACAGCTGTAGTGTACTCATATACATAAAATAAATAAATCTTAGAAAGAAAGGGAGGGAAGGAAGGAAGGAAGGAAGGAAGGAAGGAAGGAAGGAAGGAAGGAAGGAAGGAAGAGGGT